GAAGTACACAGTTATCAAAAATGCCCACACTTCACTTGGCATCTCCAGCACTTTCGGCTTTCTGTGCCTGGTCTGTTTTGGCATCTCCGTTTTCTGCAAGGTTATTCCCTTCCTTGCGAGCATCAGCTTTTCCCTTTTTCCCTTTGGGTACCTTCTTTCCCTTGTTTGCAGGGGCCTTTTTAGGCTTGGGCTCTGGCTTTGGAGGAGCAGGTTTATCAGACAACCTCGCGGATCTTCTCTGTGGTTCATCCTTCACCTTGGCCTTATCTCCTTTAGCATCCCCTTCAGCCTTTCTCTCGGGCATGGTGGCGACGGCGGCGGGACGTAGGCGCTGGGCATGGGATACAGCGTCGCATGGGCTTTTGTTGGTCCGGGGGTCGTTCTCGCTTCTTCTTCTTCACACTGCTCCTTTATGGCCATTTTTGTGGTGGTGGTTGCTTTTATGAAGGGATGAATTTTCGAGTGTCTTTATTCCACCATTTTCACTGATGTCACCTACAACACGGTTTTTAATTTCTAAAGTCCCATCGGCCACATGTCTGTAGTCCCAGATACTTGAGAGGCAAAGGAAGAAGGATCCCTTGAGTCCAGGAATTCTGGGCTGTAGTGTGCTATGCTGATTGGGTGTCCGCACTAAGTTCAGCATCAGTATGGTGACCTCCCGGGAACAGGAGACCGCCAGGTTGCCTAAGAAGGGATGTCCCAGCCCAGTTCAGAAATGGAGCAGGTCAGAACTCCCATGCTGATCAGTAATGGGATTGGGCTTGTGAATAGCCACTGCTCTCCAGCCTGGGCAACATAGTGAGTGAGAACGTGTTTCTTAAAAAAAAAAAAAGTCTCAGTGACTGTAGACTAATTAAATATTTAATCATGGGAAATGATTGGGAAAATAAATAAAAAGGGAAACTATAATTCTCTCTCTCTCTCTTTTTTTTTTTTTGCTCTATCGCCCAGGCTGGAGTACCGTGGATCAATCTCTGCTCACTACAACCTCTGCCTCTGGGGTTTAAACAATTCTCCTGCCTCAGCCTCCTGAATAGCTGGGACTACAGGCTAGTGAGAAACTGTAATTCTCATAGAGGCCTTCCCAGAGTAGATGAAGATTTAAAGGCATTTCTGTATTTAGTCTTCTCAAAATTAAGGCTGGGCCCAGTGGCTCACACCAGCACTTTGGGAGGCCAAGGCAGGCAGATCACCTGATATCAGGAGTTCAAGACCAGCCTGGCCAACATGATGAAACTCCCATCTCCACTAAAAATACAAACATTAGCCAGGTGTGGTGGTATGTACCCCTAGTCCCAGCTACTTGGGAGACAGAGGAAGGAGGATTACCTGAGCTTGGGAGGTGGAGGTTGTAGTGAGCCAAGATCACATCATTCCAGCCTGGGCAACAGAGCAAGACCCTGTTGGAAAGAGGAGAGGGAGAGGGAGAGGGAGAAGGGAATAGGAGAGGGAGATCAAAGGGAGGGAGGGAGGAAGGGAAAGGGGGGAGAGGAGGGAAGGGAAGGGAGGGAGGAAGGGGAGAGAAAAGAAAGAGAGAAAGGAAAGAGAGAGAGAAAGGAAAGAAAAGAGAGAGAAAGAGGAGAAAAGGGGAGGGAAGGAAAGAAGGAAGGGAAGGAGGGAAAGGAAAGAAGAGAGAAAGAAAGAGGGAGGGAGGGAGAGAAGGAAGGAAGGAAGGAAAGAAAGGAAGAAAGAAAGGAAAGAAAAGGAGGGAGGGAGGAGGAAGGAAGGAAAGGAAAGGAAGGAGGGAGGGAGAGAGTAAGGGAGGGGAGAGAAGGAGGGAAGGAAGAATGGAAAGAAAGAAGGAGGGAGGGAAACGAAAGAAGGAAGGAAAGAAAGAAAAGAAAGGGAAAGAAGGAGGGAGGGAAATGAGGAAAAGAAAGTGGAAGAAAAATGAAAGAGAAGAGGGGAGAGAGGGAAGAAAGAAGGGAGGGAGGAAAGGAGGGAAGATAGAAAGGGAAAGGAGGAAGGGAAATGAAGGAAAGAAAGAAGGAAAGAAGGAACAAATAAGGAAAGAAGGAAAGAAATAAAAGAAAAGGAGAGGTGGGAAGGAGGGAAGAAAGAAAGTGAAAGAAGGAGGGAGGGGAATGAAGGGAAGAAAGAAAGAATGAAAGAGAGAAAGAAAAAGAGAGGGAGGGAGGGAAGGAAGAAAGGGAAAGAAGGAGAGCGGGTGGGAAATGAAGAAAGAAGAAAGAAAGAAAGAATTTAAAAACCCATAAGGTTAAAGTAAACCCTTTTTCTTCATACAGATTAAACACATGAGTTCAAATTACAGCTTTACTTCTTAATAGCTTGGTGACCTCGGACAAATTATGTGAGCTCTCTGTTCCTCAGTTTCCTCATTTGTAAAATAGGGCAATAATAATATCTACCACATAAGGCTATTGTGAGGATTAAATATGAAGTGCCGATCACAAATACCTGGCAGCCCAATAGATACTCGTTATAATAATTATTACTTTTATAATTTCTGCAAAAGTATGGTGATGATTCTTGGGTTGACCTAAAGGCAGGTTTTCTTTTATTTCTTCCTGTTTCTTTTCTTTTTTTCATTCACTTTAAAGAATTAAAAAGAAAATAGATTCCAGCATTTTGGAATACAAATTTGTGTCAAAATGAATTTATTCTTTTTATTGACATATAAACAAAATGTCATTTGTTTATTCAATAAACATTTATTAAATGCCTAGTAAATTTCAGACATCATGCCCAGCACAGGGATCACAATGACAATAAGATGTGGTGTCTTTCCTCAAGGAGCTGATAGTCCAGGAGACTGACAGGTGGACAGGTGATTACATGCAGTGTAGCAAAGGCTGTGATGTGATACAAGAATACAAGTGGGAGCATGTGATAGGAGTATGGTTTTGACCAGTTCCTCCTTTTAGAGTTATCCCTTTTTCTTTGGCTATAAAGCAAAAGAATTGGTCCTATTTTTTTTTCTTAACTGGGCAAATTAAACCATAAATTTTAACTTTATAAAGATAAGACAAGTGGCCAGGTGCAGTGGCACACACCTGTAATCCTAACACTTTGGAAGGCCGAGGTGTGTGGATTACCTGAGGTCAGGAGTTCGAGACCAGCCTGGTCCACATGGTGAAACCCTGTCTCTACTAAAAATACAAAAATTAACTGGGCATGGAGGCGGGCGCCTGTAATCCCAGCTACTAGGAGGCTGAGGCAGGAGGCAGGAGGATCACTTGAACGTGGGAGGCGGAGGTTGCAGTGGGCTGAGATCCAGCCATTGCTCTCCAGCCAGGGTGACAGAGCAAGACTCCATCTCAANTACTAAAAATACAAAAATTAGCTGGGCATGGTGGCGGGCGCCTATAATCCCAGCTACTCAGGAGGCTGAGGCAGGAGGATCACTTGAACGTGGGAGGCAGAGGTTGCAGTGGGCTGAGATCCAGCCATTGCTCTCCAGTGAGGGTGACAGAGCAAGACTCCATCTCAAAAAAAACAAAACAAAAAAACAAGCAACTTGAATTATGGAGGACACTAGAAACAGTGTTTCCTACAGAGTCAGGGCTTCCTACTAGCATAGTCACTTCTGGGGTTTTTGACCTGAAAGTTCTGTGGCATATTTTTTCTTTGTTTTCCACTTTTTGTTTTTTCTATTTTTCCCCTCTTTCTCTCCTCTGCTTTATCTTCTAGAGACCTAGGTAGTCCCCAGAGGAATAGTGCTTTATGGAGTCTAATGGTGATTTATTGGGTAAAAACAGAAAATGATTTTTTTTACCTGCAAGTTCCATACCAAGAAATGAATATAAGCTTTTCATGCAGTTTCACACGTTGAAAATGCAGGTAATTTTAATTCCTTGCTCTTTTCAGAATTCTCAATCGCAATCCTCTGACAATTGTTGAAGATCCATATTTGTTTAAATTGCCAGCATTAAAATATCTGTAAGTATTACAGTACTCTCATGAGTCATGAAATGATTTATGCTCTTTTTAAGTTTTTCATCAATGATTAAGTATTTTGCATTTAGGCTAAAAAGTCATAATTTAAATTTAACTGAGTTATTGAAAAAAAGTTATTGGCAAAGGAAAGGATTAAGAAAGGATGTATAATGGTCAGGACAGCCAGCAGGGGAAGAGGACAGTGTTGAAGAACCATATAGATTTGGAACATGCAGACACATGGAGGAATATTACTTAACTAAGAAAGGAAGGAGGAATAGGTGTTCATTATTCTAAAAAGGAAGAAAAGAGTAAATAATCAAGATGAGTGAATCCAATATGAAAATGAGAAGTAAGATAATGGTAAAAAAACAAAAAATACACAGCTAACTACAATCACCATGTCAAGTAAGAAGATAAATAAATAAATAAATAAATATAAATAAGTACAAGTTTTACTCTTGAATATCATTAATTTGATGATGCAAATCAACTTAAATTTCTTTAATAAGAGCTCTCTGGAATTCTGCAGCAAATGAACTCTTGAGTTGGCTTGTTTTATCGAAAAGCCAAAATCGAAGTAATCACATGTCCTTGAAATATCTTTTTTAAGTACAGAATTTTTGTATTGGCGTTTATATCACAAATGTTTCGGTTTTCCTCTTCAGAGACATGGGAACAACACGAATCACACTTACAACAGTTAAGAACATCCTCATGATGACTCTTGAATTGGAAAAACTGTAAGTTAGTTTTTTCTTAGATTTATGTTCACTTAATTGGTTCTTTAGGTTTGTTTTAGTATTTTCTTAAGTCAGATTTAGCGAGATATAATTTTGTTATTTTCATATAACAAAATTCACCCTTTTTAAGTGTCCAGTTCGATGAGTTTTGACAAATGTATATTGACATAACCACCACCACATTCCCAATATAAAGCATTTCTGTCACCTCAAAAAGGCCCCTCGTGTCCCTTTGTAGTCAGTCCCCTCCTCCCACCATCAGCCCCTGTTAGCTACTAATCTGATTTCTGTTCCTGTAGTTTTGCCTTTTCCAGAATGTCTTATAAATGAAATCATATAGCATGTAGCCTCTTGTATCTGGCTTCTTTTACTTAGCATAATTTTTTTTTGAGACAGAGTTGCACTCTGTTACCCAGGCTTCAGTGCAGCCGGATGACCTCAGCTCACTGCAACCTCCACCTCCCAGGTTCAAGCAATTCTCGTGCCTCAGCCTCCTTTGTAGCTGGCTGAGATTACAGGCACCTGCCACCATGCCTGGATAATTTTTCATATTTTTAGTAGAGATGAGGTTTCACCATGTTGACCAGGCTGGTTTCGAACTCCTGACCTCCACCTCCTGAGTTCAAACAATTCTCCTGCCTCAGCCCCCCAAGTGGCTGTAGGCACCCGCCACCACATCCAGCTAATTTTTGTATTTTTAGTAGAGATGTGGTTTCACCATATTGGCCAGGCTGGTCCTGAACTTCTGACTTCAAGTGATACACCAACCTTGGCCTCCCAAAGTGCTGGGAGGTGTGAGCCACTATGCCCAGCCCAGCCGATTCTTTTTTTTTTTTTTTTTTTTGTCAAAGCAGGAGTGCAGCTGCACGATCTCAGCTCACTGCAACGACCGCCTCCCAGGTTCAAAGGATTCACCTCCCTCAGCATCCTGAGTAACTGGGATTACGGGTGCCCACCACCACGCCCAGCTAATACTTGTATTTTTAGTGGATACAGGGTCTCAGCTTGCTGGCCAGGCTGGTCTCAAACTCCTGGCCTCACATGATCCACCCACTTTGTCCTCCCAAAGTGCTGGGATTACATGTGTGAGCCACCACACCTGGCCCAGCCCAGCAGATTCTTACATTTCAGTTTTTAAAGAAATGTTTGCCTTTCTACTGCTATATGTGCAGTGGAATCTCATTGTGGTTTTAATTTGCATTTCTTTAATAGCTAGTGATGTTGAATGTCTGTTCATGTGCAAATATCTTCTTTACTAAATTGTTCAAATATATTCCCATATTTTAATTGAATATTAATCTTTTTATTAATGAGGTTTTTCCCTTGTAATCCTATGAGAGATTATTTATTATTGAGTTTTGAGAGTGCTTTATAGATCTAGATACAAGTCCTTTCAAGGACCAGGTGCAGTGGCTCATGCCTATCATCCCAACACATTGGGAGGCTTGGGCAGGAGGATTGCTTGAGGCCAGGTGTTTGAGACCACCTGGGCAATATGGTGAAACCTCGTCTCTACCGAAACTATAAAAACAATCCAGGTATGGTGGTGCATACCTGTGGTCCCAACACTTTGGGATTGCTTGAGCCTGGGAGGTCGAGGCTGCAGTGAGCCATGATCACCACTGCACACCAGCCTGGATCACAGAGTGAGATGCTATATCAACAATTAAATAAGTAAATAAATAAAAAAAAAAAAAAAAAAAAAGGCCCCTTAGATATGTGTTTAGTAAATATCTTCTCTCAGATTGTGGTTTGTCTTTTCATTCTGTTAAAAGTGTTTTCTGGCTGGGCAGAGTGACTCATGCCTGTAATCCCAGCACTTTGGGATGCCAAGGCGGGTGGATCACCGGAGGTCAGGAATTCGAGACCAGCCTGGCCAACGTGGCAAAATCCCATCTCTACTAAAAATACACAAATTAGTGGAGGCGGGCACCTGTAATCCCAGCTACTCAGGAGACTAAGGCACGAGAAATGCTTGAACCTGAGAGGTGGAGGTTGCAGTGAGCCGATCCATTTTGAGTTAATTTGCATATATGATGTGAGGTATCTATTTTTTTTCAATTTTATTTTTTATTTTTAGTAGAAACGAGGTCTCACTATGTTGCCCAAGCTGGTCTCAAACTCCTGGCCTCAAGTGATCCTCCTGCCTCACCCTCCTAGAATGCTGGGATTACAGGCATGAGGCACTGTGCCTGGCCTTCTTTGCAGTTAAAATTATATATACATATACACAAACACACACACAAACACACACACATATCAGCTAGGTGTGGTGGCATACACCTGTAAGTCCCAGCTACTAGGAAGGCTGAGGCAGAAGGATCATTTGAACCCAGATGGTGGAGGTTGCAGTAAGCCAAGATGGCACCACTGCACTCCAGCCTGGGTGACAGAGCATGACCCTATATATATCTGCAGGGCCCTATTGTGAGTTTGTTACACAACTTACTGCAACTTAAATTGTGCCACCTGCCCCCAACACACAATATGGCAAGCTAAATAGAAACTCAGATATGCTACGGCTAGTTGAGGGCATTATACAAGATTAGCGTGGACTGGGCCCTTCATTTAGCACTCTGCCGCATTCATTTTTGTCAGGTCACTTTCTTATCTTCACCACCTTGTCAAACCTGTTTTATTGCTCTAGCCTCATTTTTCTCAGCCTCCTGCAGCATCTTCCATGTCAGCTAGATCCCTTCCTCTCTGGATGATGTCCGCTTCATCAGCCAGCTTTCTCACTTAGTTCTCTAACATAGTGAGGTTCTGTCTGCTTTTTTCTTTACCATTAGTGGATAGAAAAAATCCTCCTATTCTCTGTAACCATTTGTCATCAAGACCCAAAAGACATTGAACTAACTGCCCTATTGGAGTTCATCACTGGAAGTCTTCAGGAGTTTACACATTTATATACAAAGAAAGTAGGCCAGCTCATTTGAGTCTTGGCTCATGTGTAATGATCTTTAATGCGTATTGGAAAGTTACTATTCTCAAGTAAGAATTATCTATACCTCAGGTCATTTACAGTCTCAAAGATTTGTCAGTATACTTTAAAACAGTTCTGGGAACAGTTAAGGAGACTAAACAATCATGAACACTAAATGCAATGTCTGATGTTTGATTGGATTCTGAATTTTTTTAAGCCATGATATGATTGGGACAATTGTGAAAATTTGTATATGGACTACATAGTAGGCAATGATAATATTAAGTTTCATTGGGTGATAATAGTATTCCGGTTATGGAGGAGAATGCCTTGGTTCTTAGGGGCTGCACACTGAATTATTTAGTGGAGAAGTCTCATTATATCTGCAACTAACTCTCAGATGGTTTGTCCAGAAAAATGTGTAGACATACATATATGGAAAGCAAATGTGGCAAAGTATTAGCAACTGTTGGGGTTAGGTGGGAAATTTTTTAAAAAGCAAGAAAAAAGCAACTGTTGATTCCAGATGGAAGTTATACAGGTGTTCATTATACCATTTGAAAATGTTTCCCAGCCATCCTAAGGCTTAAAGGAAAATGTTTAAAATAAGAAGTTGAAAGCACAAAAATAATAACAAAAACTTTGGGTTCATGCCTGTAATCCCAGCTCTTTGGGAGGCCAAGGAGACAGGGTTGCTTGAGCTAAGGAGTTCAAGACCAGCCTGGGCAACATGGTGAAACCCCATCTCTACAAGAAATACAAAAATTAGCCAGGCATGGTGGCACACACCTGTAGCTCTAGCTACTCAGGAGGCTCAGGTGGGATGATCACTTGAGCCCAGGAGGCAGAGGCTGCAGTGAGCTGAGATTGCACCGCTGCACTCAGCCTGTGTAACAGAGCGAAACCGTGCCTCAGAACAAACAAAAGAAACACCTTTGTGTCAGAGTTAAGGTTGCTATATAAGTCAAATGCAAGGTTATGGTTCTGGGTCCATTCTTTCTATATGAAGATCAAAGGCTTCCACTGGACCCAAAGGAACACTACTAGTCACTAGTGGTTATTTCTGTATAGGTTTGAAAGCTGTGTCAGGCCAACTTACTGGATGCAGTTTTGTTGTTGTTGTTGTTGTTGTTGTTGTTGTTGTTGTTTTTGAGACGGAGTTTCGCTCTTGTTACCCAGGCTGGAGTGCAATGGCGCGATCTCGGCTCACCGCAACCTCCGCCTCCTGGGTTCAGGCAATTCTCCTGCCTCAGCCTCCTGAGTAGCTGGGATTACAGGCACACACCACCATGCCCAGCTAATTTTTTTTTGTATTTTTAGTAGAGACGGGGTTTCATCATGTTGACCAGGATGGTCTCGATCTCTTGACCTCGTGATCCACCCGCCTCGGCCTCCCAAAGTGCTGGGATTACAGGCTTGAGCCACCGCGCCCGGCCTGGATGCAGTTTTAATATAAAACTCTATATGTTTGCTTATACCCATTACTGGAGATAGTTTAAAAAACAAAAACAAAAAAGCAACAACTCTATACGTTGTACTCCCAACTCATAGACTTCATATATCCATGAATCACTCCTCTGTTTTCACAGTTTTAATGAGGTCCTGATAAAGTCATCCTTTTGAAGGACCCAGAAAAGGCCCCCACAGCCTCTGCAACGTAATAATTATAGTAGTTAACATTTGTTGAGCACTCACTGTGTGCCAGGCATTTTTCAGGTATTGATTCATTTAATCCTCAAAACTCATTAGAGGTAGGTACTATTATAATGACAAGGCCAAGGAACAGAGATTAAGCAGTTTGCCCAAATTCACATTATTAGTGGAGCTGGGATTTAAGCCTGGTCTGGCTGTGGAATCTGTATTCTTAATGACCATATTATACTGCTTAAGATTAACCTTGAGATTTACTCTAGATAACAGAGGTTGTTTTTATCTCTCTAAAACTAAGCCATAACAATAATCAATTATCTTGGTATCTCTTTTGCCCAAATTTATATTTTGAAAAAAACTCAAACATACCATAAAGATGAAAGAATAGTACAGAATCCAATCAAAGGTCAGGCACTGCATGTCATGCCTTCGTTTCCTTTAATCTAAAACATTCCGCTACTTTTTGTTATCTTTCATGATACTGGCATTTTTTAAGAGTCAAAGACAGCTGTCTTGTAAATTGTCCCACAATCTGGATTTGTCTGTTTCCTCATGATGAGATTCAAGTTAAGCATTTTAAGGAAGAATACTGCATAGGTGATACATCCTTACTGCCTCATGACCACAGGTGGCCCATAATGCTAAGTTTGATCACTTGATTAAGGTGATCTTCCAGATCTCTCCATTGTCATTATTTTGCTGGGTGCAGTGGCTAACGGTTGTAATCCCAGCACTTTGGAAGGCTGAGGTGGGCAGATCACTTGAGTCCAGGAGTTCTAGACCAGCCTGAGCAACAAGGTAAAACCCTGTCTCCACTAAAAATACAAAAAACAAAAGAAAATTAGCTGGGCGTGGTGGTGCAAGCCTATAATTCCTGCTATTCGGGGGGCTGAATTTGGAGGATCACTTGAGCCCGGTCGAGGCTGCAATGAGCTATGATTTTGCCACTGTATTTCAGCCTGAGTGACAGAGTGAAACCTTGTGTCATAAAAAAAATAAAAAATAATTTTCCCCTTGGTAATTAATAAATAATCTGTGGGGTGGTACTTTGAAATCAGTGAAGATCCTGTTCTCAAGTGTCTTTTTACCCAACTGTGTATCAATAATAATCCTTGTCTGAATCAATTTTTATTACATTGGTGGTGCAAAGTGACACTTTTTTAATTTTTGTCATTCCTTCTGCATTTACTAGCTGGCATTATTTCATTAAAGAAGAACACCCCCTCTTTCTTTTTGAATATCATTCTTCATGGATTCTTCTTTATATTAATTATGTTGTAACTTATTATTGCTGTTATTCTTTTGAATGCTCAAATGTCCATCCAGATTTGGCCCATGAAATCTCTGTTATTATTTTTTACCCCACAATGCATGTTAAACTAAGCTGTTTTTAATGCCCAGAGAATGTCTAATATTTCCCACTCCCAACAGGAATTGAGAAAGGGACTACAGAAGTTGGGGGCTTATTCTGACTCTTCTTAGAAGTCTACCTTCTTCCTGCGTACTTTCAGCCCAAAGTGAAACTTTTGAGTTGGGAAGAGATACTTCTGAATTAAACTACTGATCAGTGTCACCCAATTCTAATCCCAACCATGTTTATTCTAGGCATACCATACTCACTGCCATGCTTACCCTTCTGTTGTGCACCTCTGTCCTCCTTCCTGTGGCCTTCTGGTTCCTACCCAACTATTCAGTCCATAGGCCTCAATAACACCTTTTTGCCCAGCCCTATGGTAGCGTTGGTCTGCCTCCTTTACCTACTCAAGAATCCCCTTCACCATGAATTTATTGTTCTGTGTTTTTATCTATAGGATCTTACCTAGCCATATGGCCTGCTGCCTCTGCCAATTTAAAAATAGCATTGAGGTTGTCTGCAAGACAGTCAAGCTGCATTGCAACAGTGCATGTCTGACAAACACCACACATTGTCTTGAAGAAGCATCTATAGGGAATCCCGAAGGGGCGTTCATGAAGGTGTTACAAGCCCGGAAGAAGCACACGAGCACTGAGCTGACTATTGAGCCGGAGACGTCCTCAGAGAGCAACGGCATCAACTTGTTAGGCTTTGGGAGTGAGCAGCTAGACATCAATGATGAAAGTGATGTTATCAGTGCACTAAATTATATCTTGCCTTATTTCTCAGCGGGAAATCTAGAAGATGTGGAGGCAATGTTGTTACCGTTCATTAAACTGCTTTTTTCAGATTCACAAGATGGCGACAAGTCCCTGGGTATTTTGAAAAACAATGCAAAGAGCCCCTCTCTTCAACCTGCATCCAACAACTCAACTTACGAAAATAAATTGAGAAAGCTGTATTCTCTGGAAAATGTGATAGATGCAGAAATTCAAGAAAAAATCGATGAGGTTAAAAGGGAAGAAAAAAATGCCATGCTTGCCAGTGTTTTAGGTCCCAAATTTAAACGGCAAATTTTCTGGACAAAATTAAAAACTGCCCAACCACAGGAAAACAGCCTGGCAAAGATTCAAAGTGTAGGAAAAAGCCTGCAGAGAGCAAACAGAGTCCTCATGGACCCAAGGAGCTTCCAGAAAAGGCACTTCAAAGAGGGGGGAAAGCAGAGCATCAGGAGGGGACAGAGTACCCAGGCATTTGTGGAAAACACTGCCAAAGGAAAAAGGCTTGGGAGTGCAGCCCCAAGGGAGCTGGAACAGCCTCACGTGGTGCAGAGGCCCGAGAAGTTAGTGGGAAACACCATCTACACCAAGCCTTTGTTCACCCAAGAGCATAAGACAGCGGTCTCCTCTTTGCTGAAACCCTTCTCCATGGGCGGGCCTTCTGCCTTCACCCCTGGAAAAGCCCAGCGTGAGGTCAGAAATCTAGAGAAAGACTTAACCTACGCCATTTTCATTTTAGAAAATGCAAAGGCTAGAGTTAAAAATATGAAGGCTGCTAAACCAACCACAAATTCCAGAAAAAAATACCACTTTCATAAAACTAGCTCCCATGTGGTCCACAGAACACCCAAGGCCAAAAAGAGTCGAAAGTTCAGAAAGAAAAGTTCTCTCAACAGACTGATGCTGGCGAAGAAGCCTCTGTTCTCTGCAGCAAAGAGCCTTATAAATTCCCCTTCAGAAGGGGCTTTTTTATCTTTAGGAGACAATATTCAACAAAATTCTTTTCTGGAGGTATTTGCTCCTTCAGAACGTTTTATTGAAAACACCACTGCAGGAAATGCCTTTGATGAAAAAATTTTTATGGGAAACACTGCTATGCCAGAAGGCACCATCTCTGAAAACACAACCTACAAAAATCCTCCTGAGGCAGATTCTGCTGGGACTGCGTTCAACTTAGAGCCAACTGTTAAACAAACCAATGGAGCACAATGGGAATACAATGACCTGGGCACTGACCTGTTCCCCAAGCCCAAAAACTTCAATTACCCATTGCTCTCGTCCCTAGGTGATCAGTTTGAAATTCAGCTAAACCAGCAGCTACGGTCCCTCATCCCTGACAACAATGTGAGAAGGCTCATATCTCATGTTCTCCGGACCTTGAAGATGGACTGCTCTGAGACCCAAGTGCAATTAGCCTGTGCTAAGCTCCTCTCCGGGACAGGCCTCCTGATGAAACTTCTCAGTGAACAGCAAGAAGAAAAGGTGTCCAAGGCAGAATGGGATACGGACCAGTGGAAAACTGAGAACTATATCAATGAGAGCACGGAAGCCCAGAGTGAACAGAAACAGCAGGAGTCAAGTGAGGTGAGGACCACACAGAAAGGTGGGACCCGGACTTTCCCATCATTTAGCATATGTCAGGAAAGTGCCAACACAAGAGAACCTAGGACTTGTGGGCCATAGCTTGTCTTGGCCATGTAACTTTGGCCAGATGGCTCATGCCTGTAATCCCAGCACTTTGGGAGGCTAAGGTGGGTGGATCACTTGAGGTCAGGAGTTTGAGACCAGCTTGGCAACATAGTGAAACCCTGTCTCCACAAAAAAACACAAAAATTAGCTAGGTGTGGTGACATGCCTGTAGTCCCAGCTACTCAGGAGGCCAGCTAAGGTGGGAGGATCACCTGAGCCCAGGGAGGTCAAGTCTGCAGGGAACCATGATGGTACTGCTGTACTCCAGCCTGAGCAACAGAGTGGGATCCTGTCTCAAAAAAATTGAAAAGAACCTGTAAGCTACTCACTTGGAGTACTGGGGTTTTTAATAGTTAGCTTTCATCCTATCTCTGTGTTTTTTTTTTAAAAATTGTTCTTTCCTTTTTTTTTTCTTAAGCTCACTAAAGTTGTTCCAGGATATGGCTACAGCAAATTCATCTTGGCAATATCTGTGTCTGTAACTGTGACAATGTTCATCCTAATTTTCTGTGTCATTGCGGTAAGGACAATAATTAATTCAGGTTTTCAGAATGCAATCCTGTCTTTGTATAAATTCAGAACCCACAAACTGAAAATCAAAGCCACTTTCCCACCTACTACTACTTGACATTCTCCTTCAGTTGTTTAAGGCTGAGGTATGCTTTGTTCTTTTACTATAATTCATATTCCAGGATTTTTAAAGGATCGTCACTTCCAGGAGATTTCTGTCAATTGAAATTAAGTTAATTCCACTGGACTATTTTAAGAAATTAAGTTGATATAATAGCAAAATTTCTCCCACCCAAAACTATGTCAACAATTGAATGTACTCTGCCACTAATTTATTTCCTTGTTGTTGAAATGAAGAGAAAAGTATAATCTCCACCCTCACAGAGCTGTGATCACCCTGGAGAGGAAGGACAAGGCAAAAGAGAGAAGTCTCGTCTTGTAGACTTACTAGACTCACATATTGTCTTCCTTCTCCAGTGTGTAGGACGTTGTCTAAATAGGTCCAGTTAAAGCACTACAGGGTAGCCATCTTTTTAAAAAGTAGTTGGCCACTTATTTAAGTTCACAGGGGAGGGGGAATGTCTCATACTCCAGCCCTCCTGAGCCCAGGCCCTCTGTGATATGTGTCACCATTTCTCGGACACCATATGAGACATTCCTCCTCGGATTAGGGATGCTCAATCTGCATTACAGATCTAAAGCCTACATCTGGCTACTCTGGGGCGAGTCCTGTTTATAGCACCCATTCCCAGAGCTTGCCTCTGTTTGCCTTTTGTTTGATTACATGATGTGTTACTTTTCCCAACAGGCCAGTGCTAGCATATTGGAAGAGTGAGATAATAAGCTGGCAACCTTGACGCTGTGCTGCCAATCCAACTTTATTTCCCTCACTCACCATTTCCATTATTGTGGCAGCCCTCCATTCCAGCCAGAGCAGCCCCTCACCATACCCTGGTCACACCCTGCCCGTTTCTGCTTTCATCTGTGCCTTTGTCCATCTAAAATGCCCTTATTTCACTCTGCCTGAGGGAATCCTATGAATCTCTCAAAAGCCATCTCAAGTTCCTCTTTCTTCTTTACACCTTCCCTGAATACTCCAGCCCTTCTGAGCCTACTCCCTTTGTGAGATTTGTCACCATTTCATAGACACCATATGAGAGACTTTGGAGGCTGAAGTGTGAGGATTGTTTGAGCCTGGGAGATCGAGGATGCAGTGAGCTGAGGTCATACCACTGCATTCTTGCCTGGGCAACAGAGCAAGACCCTGTCTCAAAAATAGCCACCACCAAAAACTGTCTTGGGATTTGAATAGGATCATGTTAAATTTGCAGATTAATTTGAGAATTAACATCTGTACAACATTCTAGGAATGTGATATCTCTTGTCATGTGTTCATTTTTTTGAATGTCTTTCAGAAGAGTCTATTTCCATCATATAGATCTTACACATCTTTTGTTAGATAAAAGATCTTTGTGTTTTTGTTCCTAAATACTTCATACATTTTTATTGCCATTGTAAATGGGATCTTTCTTCCATTTTCTAATTAGTTATTGGTAGTACATGGGAAAAGTATTTGAGGTAGCCATCTTTTAAAAAAAAATTTTTGTATGCTGATCTCTTGATTTTGTATATAGCCACCGTATTGAATTCTTATATTACTTTCAGTAAAATGTTGGTTGATTCTCTTAGGCTTCTTTGGCTGTCTAATATTTATCATCTCATATGCAAATAATGATAGTTTTGTCTCTTTCTTTCCAATAGTTATACGCTACTTTCTTCCCTCCCTCCCTTCCCTTCCTTCCCTTCCTCCCTTCCTCCCTTCCTTCCCCCTCCCCCTCTCCC